TTTTGATTGGCTCACAGTCCAGAATTATGACTTTACACGTAAATTGTATTTCTAATATCCGATAAAAATATAATTATTAAAACTTTTTTAACCCATCAAAGTCACGAAGCAGCTTACCTCAGGTAGGGTGCATTAGGAGTGTTAATACCTTCCCTAACCACAACCAGTCCCTTACCCACGAATCTCTAACAAGACCAGTACATTAGGGTTTTCTAGTAGCCCTTAATGAAATACTAGGTGGCAACTCCAACGAACCAATCAAAGAAAAACTCATGACAAAAAAAATCGTCAGCCGATGCCGCGCGGGTGATGTGCGACATGGTATAACCTATACTTGTGTTATGAAAGGAACCTTATTTGTTGTTAACTTATAAGTTAGCATCATAAATTCCAGACAATATTTAAAATTTTAGTCTTACTTAAATAAGATAATTAATATGATCATGTTAATAATTTATAATGAGCTGTTAATGACAAATCATCTAATTGGAACCTCCTTTGTATGTGGTTGTCAGTTCAGTAATAAAAAGAGTTTATATTATACTTATTTGAAATACCATTAAGAATCTTCTAACCTTGATATTGTTTTTATTATTTTTTAATGCTCACATTAATCTTACATCTCAAAGTCCTCTTTAACTTATTATTATTATTATTATTATTTGATACAATCCAAACAAGGTCAAATTCGGATTTTGATGTAAAATGTGCAACTATCCAATTTTATGTCAATAGTCATAATTCTCAATTCGATTGTTGGATCAAGCTGAAATATTACGTGGAGTCTCTTGACATCTTCTCTTACCTTGGATTAAAATTTCAAGTCAATTAGAGTTCGGGAAGGCATCTCAATACGGGTCAAGAGAGGTTGTACCAATTTTTTTATTTACTTCCTTTTGACTTGTGGACTTCCTATTTAGCTAGGATTCTTTTCCTAAAAGGATGTGGCAATTTATTTTGGAAATATACTAATTCTTCAAGAATGTTTAAAGGGTTGCAACATAGTTTCCAAGTGTGGCAAGGATTCATAATTATTTCAGAATCCTTTTCTTATAAGGATTCCTTATTCATCCTAGCTACAAAAGGAAAGAAAACTTTAAAATACATTCTACCTTCAGATTAGATTTTCTAGTCTATTTAGGACTTCTTAATGATGACAAATCTGATTCTAGCATATTTAGGATGATAATTTTTGAATTTTTATTATTTTTATTATTTTCTTCTTAGTCTTTGGGTTATTATTACTTATTTGGGTCAATTGTTAATGGGCTATATATAAGTCCACCAAAGGGGGGTCCATTAGGGTTTCTTTAAGTCTAAAGTCACTATAAATAAAGGCATAACCTCCCTTTGTGTGTGTGTTGGTGAGATAATCTCCCTTCCATGGTTCTCTAAAGAACCGAAAAATGACTTACTGAAAACAATTATCTTCGTGGCATAATCCTTATACTTCTCATTCGCGAATCAATATTCATTGGGTGGGAGTTTTTCCGTTTCCAATAGTGCTGGTGCCTATGTACAAGTTATCTTTGTGCCACACTCCTATCAAACCTGATTTACTTGGCTTTCTAGGAATTGTTGTTTTTGCATGTGGGTTGCATGACCATGTAATCACGAGGTTTGCATCATCATCATCATCATCATCATCATCATCATTATTTATAATTTATATAGTTAACCTTCATGTGGTTTGACCTCAATCTTGCTGAGTTATTTATTACTTTGACACTTCTACACTTGAAAGAAGATATCAATCTTTTGGTTGTATCAAAGACCCATTACTTGTTTAGAATGGGCCAATCACAACATCTAAAGTGAAGGCATTGAATAGGTTGGTTGTTGATACAGTCAAAGAAAAGGTTGAACAAGAAAATTTGATTTCTAGTGTAATTGTGCCTATTGTCTAGTTTTACAGTAACAATAATAATTTTCAATCTAATTGTTAGATGGAGCTACAAATTAACTTAAAGTTTTTTTTACATATAGTTTTATATTGGGGTACAATTTCAGGTCCATTGGGGTTTAGGAAAGCCTTGCGATATAGGTTAGAATAGACTATATAAATTTTGTTATTTACTTACTTTTGACTTGTGGATTTCCTATTTGTCAAAAATCTTTTTCCTACAAGGATGTGACATCTTGTTTTATGAATTTCATAGTTATACAAGGATCTTTAATAGGGATGCAACATAATTTCATAATGCGGTAAGGATTCATTAATGTTTTAAAATCTTTTTCTTACACAAATTCCATATTATTCATCTTTGTTACATAAGAAACCCTAATGTAAATAGTTATTATTACTTTTTATCCAAATGACTCTAAACTTAAAGAAACCCTAATAGACCCCTCTTAGGTGGACTTATATACAACCCATTTATAATTGATCCAAATAAGTAATAATAACCCAAAGACTAAGAAGAAAATAATAAAAATAATAAAAATCCAAAAATTATCATCCTAAATATGCTAGAATCAGATTTGTCACCATTAAAAAGTTCCAAATAAACTAAGAAATCTGATCTGAAGGTAGAATTTTTTATGAAGTCTTCTTTCCTTTTATAATTAGGATGAATAAGGAATCCTTGTCAGAAAAAGATTTTGAAATAATTATGAATCCTTGCCACACTTGAAAACTATGTTGTAGCCCATTATAGAATTAGTATATTTTCAAAATAAGTTGTCATGTCCTCTTAGGAAAAAAATCCTAACCAAATAGAAAGTACACAAGTTAAAATGAAGTAAATAATAAAATTCATACAGCCTCTGTTGACCCATATTGAGATGTCTTTTCGAACTCTGATTGACTTGAAATTTTAACCCAAGGTAGGATAACATGTCAAGAGTCTCCACATAAAATTTTAGCTCGATCCAACGGTCAAATTGAGAATTATGACTATTGTTGTAAAACTGGATAGCTGCACATTTTACGTCAAAATCCGAATCTGACCTTGCCTGGATCGTATCATTGTTACTTTCATACAAAATTATTGGAGGCAAGTGTTGGCAAGAAAAGAACTCCAAAGGATTAAACAAGAGGCTTATAAAGCATCCATTATACCTATTGGTGATTCAAGGACAGATCATTTTGAAGAGAAAGGGAATGCTATGATGCTAGAAATGATTGAACAAGAAAATTTGAATTTTAGCATAATTCTATCTAATATCTAGTTTTATAGTAACAATCATAATTCTTAATCAGACCATTGGATTGGGATGCAAATTACCCTGAGTTTCCTAGCATATTGTTCTATATTAGGGTAAGATTTTAGGTTAATTAGGGCTGAAGAAAGCCTTGCAATATATGTCAAAATAGGTGTATGAATTTTGTTATTTACTTTTTTTTTAGTAGTGGACTTTTTATTTGGCAAGGATCCTTTTTCTTATAAGGTTGTTACAGCTTGTTATAGGAATTTTCAAATTTTATAAAAAAAATTAATGGGCTAAAATATAATTTCCAAGTGTGGCAACGATTCATTAATATTTTAAAATCCTGACCTTATAATGATTCCTTATTCATTATAGCTACATAAAAAAACAAGGATCGATGGTATTTAATATTAGATTGATTAGCTTATTTTGGGAAGTTTCCTAATCCTACAAGGAAGGTTAATGGAAGATAATAAGAATTTCCATGTTTAAATAGAATACTTTAAACCTACAATTAATTATACCAGACAAACAATGAAACTAAAGGAAAGACAACTTCAACAATAGATTTCCTAGCTTTTTGGATATCTAAAGATGGCAATAAAGATTATAATATTTATAGGATAAAAATTTCATTCATGACATTACTTAAACTAAGAAAATAATCTATCTTAGGTTATTTTATTTAATTAGTGGATCCACTTTAATAATATGTCAGATTTGTTATTTTTATTATTTTCTTTATACTTTGGGTTCATTGTAAGTGGGTAAATATTAGCCCACAAGTTTTAGGTCCATTAGCGTTATAAGTTAAATAATGACATAAGTTTTTTGTACGCTGAAACTTTTAGCAGTAATGAATTTATGAAATAAACTTGTGTTTTGTGTGTTTTTACATATTTTCTGATACGATTTGAGCAAAGAAAAAAAATTAGATTTAGATTCTGATGTAAAATACACAACTGTCCTATTGATGCAAACATCGTGATCACGTGGTTATGCAACCCACAATCAAAATTGAAATCTCATCCCAAAAAACTAAAATAAGTCTGATAGTAGTGTGACATAATGAAAACCTGCTCTAAGACACCAACACTATTGGAATGAGTAGAATGATGCCACAAAGCTAGTTAATCTTTGATAAGTCAGATTCAGTTTGTTCAAGAGCAGAAGAATGCAAGAATCACTTTCACACATTAAAACTAAAAAATTCAGAAGTAATATTCATCCATGGCTTAGTTTTTCACATCCTTGAGCTAGAATCCACCTCCATTCCCTCTCCATTGTTGAATATATGACATGATACAATTCAACCTTGTGATATAACCCAAGTAAGGTCAAATTTGGATTTTGGCATAAAATTTTCTACCATCTAATTTTACATTATTGAGCATAACTTCAAATCTAGCTGTTGGATTGAGCTGAAACTTTACTTGAAAATTCCATAGGTATTAATCTATGTTATGGTAAAGTTTCAAAAGAATTGGTTTTCGAGAAGGACTTGCGATATAGATCAGAACAGGGTATACAAATTTTGTTATTTACTTCCTTTTGACTCGTGAACTTTCTATTTACAAAGATATGTGATACAAGGTTATCAAAAATGCTTTTTTGACACGACATGGAATATACAATATTAACTCGAATCATAAAATTATAAAATCACAAGTAAATTTTTTTAACTAAAAATCATAAAATCATAGTTCAATAAATGAAGGCCATGCATGTTAAATATACATGTTATATCCTGCAGTTCAATACACTTGAACACAAATTAATTAGATATGCTAATTGTGCAAGGAAAAGAAATTTAATAAATGTTGAGGCTGCCAACAACACCACAATGCAACCAATAGCTAAATTTCTCAATTTAATAAAAACTTTTTGGTTACAAATCTAGGTAACAATTGACTTGCCTAAATGGACATGTGAAATTTCCATGGAAACTAGGTTACAGTACAACTCTTTTCACTATAAAAATATAAAAAAAATTGAACTAGTGTAAAGATTGATAGAAAAGGAAAACACAAATATCATACCACAAGAAGTTGAACCTTAGTTTTAAGTTTTCCAATTCTGCAAATCTATGACAACAAATATGAAAGGTGAAAGCAATGGATCAAGTTCTATATTGGAGGACAAAACAAAGCACAAAGATCCACCAAGAAGGGATTGTAAACTTCCTTCTCGCAACTCTTTTCTTAGTATAGAAAATGCAGAGTTAGCTCCCCCCCTCCGCAGTCTCCTCTTACGCTGCACGTAATCTCTAGTCAAGGAACTTCAACAGAAAAGTCGATACAAACTAATAGTTTGGACATTGTTAACCGATAACTAACAAGATAGGAGATTCCTAAGCACCCCTTTAATGTTGAAAGTTTCCCATGAGCCTAGAGATTCACTAGACAGATTTTCAGTTACAAACATTACCTAGGTCACTTTTCCATATAATTAACATTTGAACTACATAAACATGTATGTTTGGTTATGTAAACCAATCCAGATTATGCAAAAAAACCAGAACCAAAATGTTAAATGTTAAGAGTCAAGTTTTGAGATAAAAGGATATATTAAAAAAGTTCCCATGCTGCCAAGTAATGTGAGTAACAATGTTCATCCCCACCCTTTTAGCACAAACTGGATATATCTGAAAACAAACAATTCCAGTATCATTTCAGTAACAGTATGTAGACAAAAAAAAAACTAGGAAAGTGTAATTAATTGTGTTACAAAAAGAAAGTGACCAATTTATATGCTCTAGGATAAAATAAAAAATCCTCAAAAACAAGGCGACAAACTCACAGAGTTAACTAAATTATCTCATTTAAAATCAAACCCCATAAAACCCTTTACCAAAAGCAATTTAACACTAAAGAACTAAACTTTTTAATTTACATCCATCAATAGAACTCGATAAGAATATGATACCCCATTCTTAGCTTCAGTAAGATGCTTTTCATCGATGTGGCAAAAGAGACCAACAACATCAAAATCCTCACCGCAAAACGGACACAAATACTCTGCTTTCAAATCCTCTTCTATTTCAGTCTCATCATACAGATCTAGCACCACAAACCAATAAAAAATCCAAAAAAAAAAGCAGCTTTCAGACACCATCTCTTACTAAACTACGAACATTGCAAAAGAAATGAAAGATTTTAAACAAACCAGATCCTAGTTTTTTTGTTCTTGGTTGTGATGGTTCTTGCTTTTGCGCATTTAGAAAGGGGGGGGGGGGAGAGATAAAGATTGTGAATCCTTTATCCTTTCATAAAAATCGAAGTCATCAGGTAGACAACAAAGGTCCCCTTAACATGGTGGTGTTGGGTCTAATTCATGCTCCCTCAACTCTCTCTCTACTCTAAATGATGATCGTTTCTTCTTCAGATAATAAGAGTCTAGTTCTTGGAAGATGAAGAACCATAGCCTTCGGTTCCAGTGTTGTAGTACTGGCTTCCTTACTCAACTTGCACAATCCCAATTTGTGTCGGTCACGGGTGGGGTGGGGATTGGTAAAAAAAAGGTGCTGAGTCAGCACAGGGCAGAAGTTTAAAATTTCACATGAAATTGTGAAATCGAATCGATTTTTACGTTTCTTACGGGTTGACCTGATTTTATGCAAGTTTGACTGATTTTACCTGTTTTCAAGTTTTAAACCCAATTTTACACGTTTTATGCATTTTAACTCGTAAAATTGCTAATTTTACGAGTCAAAACTCGTTTTTAACAACCATGATGTGATGCAAACCTCGTGATCATATGGTCACGCAACCCACAAGCAAAGATACCAATTCCTGGAAAGCCAAGTAAATCAAGTTTGATAGGAGTGTGACACAAAGATAACTTGTACCTAGGCACCAACATTATTAGAAATTAAAAACCCCTACCCAACGAATATTGATTCGCGAATGAGAAGTATAAGGATGATGCCACGAAGATGATTGTTCTTTGATAAGTTGTTTTTAGTTCTTTAGAGAACCAAGGAAGGGAAATTATCTCATCAACACACACAAAGTGCGGCAAACAAGAAGTTTTATTAATCTGAATTGTCTTCCTTACATGTTTGGTTATGCCTTTATTTATACTGACTCTAGACTTAAAGAAACCCTAATGGACCCCTCTTAGGTGGACTTATATGAAACCCACTTACAATTGACCCAAATAAGTAATAATAACACAAAAACTAAGAAGAAAATTATAAAAATAATAAAAATCCAAAAATTATCATCCTAAATATGCTACAATCAGATTTGCACTAAGAAGTCCCAAATAGACTAGGAAATCTGATTTGAAGGTAGAATTTATTCTGAAGTCATATTTCCTTTTGTAGCTAGGATAAATAAGGAATTCTTGTAAGAAAAGGATTCTGAAATAATTATAAATCCTTGCCACACTTGGAAACTATGTTGCAGCCCATTAAAGATCTTTGTAGAATTAGTATATTTTCAAAATAAGCTGCCACATCCTTTTAGAAAAAGAATCCTAGCCAGATAGAAAGTCCACAAGTCAAAAGGAAATAAATAACAAAATTCATACAGCCTCTGTTGACCCGTATTGAAATGTCTTCCCAAACTTCAATTGACCTGAAATTTTAACCCAAGGTACGAAAACATGTCAGGAAACTCCACCTAAAATTTCAGCTCTATCCATGACTGTTTTCATAAAACTGGATAATTGCACATTTTACATCAAAATTTGAATTTGACCTTGCTTGAATCGTATTAATATGAAAGCTTGTTTTGGGAATTTCCTAGTTCCACAAGGATCTTTAATGAGCTGTAATATAATCTTTAAGTGTGGCAAGGATTCATTAATGTTTCATAATCCTTTTCTTATAAGGACTCACTCATCCTAACTACACAAGGAAAAAAGGGTTGGTGATATTTAATGATAGATTAGTTATTTTTATTATTTTCTTACATATTTAGGCTTTATTAATACTTTGTTTTCAGTTAGGATCCAAGGCTTGTTTGGATAAGGTTATAACTTTTCAATTTCAGGTTTTTGGGTCATTTTTTAGTGGACCTCATATAAGTCTTTATAAGGGATATAAGGGGTCTTCACCAAATCACAGATTCTCGATCAAAATAGCTTGGGAACAACTAAGATTTCATCATACGATGGTCGAATGGCATGACATTGTGTGGTTCAAGAATGATGTTCCAAGACATTTGTTTCTTCTTTGGGTGGCTGTCCAACAGAAACTCACAACTCAAGATAGACTTCATCGATTTGGTATACATGGTCCCAATAGATGCTCACTCTGTCTCCGCAACAACGAAGATCACAACCACTTGTTCTTTGAATGCTCCTATACTAAAGCGATCTGGTGGGATGTTTGTGACAGATGCAACATTCCAAGAATGACAAAAGGATGGGATGAATGGATTTGATGGGCCAGTGTCACTTGGCATGGCAAAAGTTTCGTCAATTTTTCTCGTAAACTCAGTTTTGCAGCTACAGTTTATCATATCTGGCAAGAAAGGAATGCAAGGACCTTTGCTGGAATATCTAGAACTCAAAATTTGGTCTTTCATCAAATTGAATGTATCATCTGTGATAAGCTGGATTTGATGAGGAACGTTCTACCAACAAATGAAAATAAAAGAATCCAACGAGCCTGGAGGGTAACGTAATATAGATTCTTCATTTGATATTTAGCTGGTTGTATTAGTTTCCCTATCGAATCAAGTTAGATCTTGAGTTTTCAGTTCGGTGGCTAGCATGTAGCCATCTATTGTTTTACGTTTCTGTTCTCATTGTAAATCTGGGGTATGCCCTTTATAATCTTTGTATCGTTTTCCTTTAATATATACATCAACTTACCAAAAAAAAAAAGATATAAGGGGTCCATTAAAGTTAATTTTTCAAGGACTATTTAAACATATGTAATCAAAATTTCAGTAGCCATTGATGAATATTACTTTTGAATTCTTTAGTTTTAACGTGATAGTGATTCTTACATTCTTTAGTTATTGAACAAACTAAATCTAACTTATTAAAGATCAATTGGCTTCGTGACGTCATTCCAATAGTGTTGGTGTCTTGAGGCAGGTTTCTATTGTCACACTCCTATCAAATCTATTTCAGCTTTTCGGGATCAGATCTCAATCTTGATTGTCAAATATATGCATGACCATGTGATCATGAGGTTTGCATCATGACATAATAGAAAAAATCAAAGAATACAAAGACACAACAAGAATAGAGTTTATAATAGGAAGAACATTGATTTAGATTAGAAATTACAAATCTAACTTTTGTTTGGACTAGAACTCATCGAAAACAAACAAGTGCAAAAGTGATGAAAATGACTCAAACAACAGCAAAGTCCATATTTAGAATGGTAATTTTTTTATTTTTTTTATTTTCTTTTTGGTATTTAGGTTATTATTACTTATTTGGGTTAATTATAAGTGAGTTTCATATAAGTCCATTTAAGGGAGGTCCATTAGGGTTTATTTATGTCTAGAGTCAATATAAATAAAGGCATAACCAAACATGTAAGGTTAGACAATTCAAATTAAGTAAACGTCTTGTTTGCTGCACTTTTTGTGTGTGTGTGTGTATTGGTGAGATAATCTCCCTTCCATGGTTTTCTAAAGAATAGAAAAATGACTTATCGAAGAACAACTGTTTTTGTGGCATCATCCTTATACTTCTCGTTCATGAATCAATGTTCATTTGGTGGGGGTCTCCGTTTCTAATAGTAGTGGTGCCTATATATATGTTATCCTTGTATCACACTCCTATCAAACCTGATCTACTTAGCTTTTCAAGAATTGATGTCTTTGCATGTGGGTTGTAGGACCACATGATTACGAGGTTCGTATCATCAACAGAGGTTGTATGAATTTTTTTTTATTTACTTTCTTTTGATTTGTGGACTTCTTATTTTGCAAGGATTCTTTTTCTACAAGGATGTGATAGCTAGTTTGGGGAATTTCCTAGTATTGCAAGGATATTTAATGGGCAACAACATAGTTTTCATGTGTGGTATGACCTCTATATTAATGTGGAATCCTTATGGTTTTTGGAAACAATTATTCTATCCTTATTATAATAGGAATTTATGATTAAATTATTTTTCTAGTTAGCTAAGAATGCTGTGTAAATAAGGAAATTAAAGAGGAGGCAACTTCATATTTGATTCTCTTAACTTATATAAGATTTTAAAAGGCAACAAATCTGAATCTGATCCTATCATATTTAGAAAAATAAATTCGGATTTATTATTAATATTATTATTTTCTTCTTATTTTAGGGTTTATTTATATTATTTCCTATCATATTTAGGAAATTAAATTCAGATTTATTATTATTATTATTATTTCCTATCATATTTTTGGGTTTAATTGTAAATGGACATCATATATGTCCACATAAAAGGTCCATTAGAGTTTGTTTCAGTCTAAAATCAGTATAAATAAAAGCATAACCAGACATGTAAGGTTAGACAATTCAAATTAATAAAACTTTTTGTTTGTTGCACGTTGTGTGTTTTGGTGAGATACTTTCCCTTCCTTGGTTCTCTAAAGAATTGAAAAACAACTTATTGAAGAACAGTTGACTTCGTGGCATCATCCTTACACTTTTCGTTTGTGAATCAATATTCGTTGGGTGAGGGTTTTTATGTTTTAATATTGCTGATGTCGTACAAGTTATATTTCTGTCATACTCCTATAAAACCTAATTTACTTGGCTTTGTGCGAATTGGTGTCTTTGTTTATGGGTTGTTTGACCGCATGTTCAAAAGGTTCACATCATTTTCTATGTTGGGACAAATAATGAATTGATTTATCAAGATATAACTGACATTATAGTGTCTTTCTTATACTTGTCATTCATGAATTGATATTTTTTGGGTAGGGTGACACGATCAAAAGATTGATGTCTTCTCCTAAGTGCAGGAGTGTTAAAGTAATAAATAGCCCAACAAGACCGGGGTCAAACCACAAGGAGGTTAACTCTATAAATTATTAATAACAATAAGACGACAGCAACAACAACAACAATAATGATATTATTAATAATAATAGTAATAATAATAATAGTAATAGTAATAGTAATAGTAATAGTAATAGTAATAGTAATAAAAAGAGCTTTGAGATGTGATATTAATATAAAGGTTAGTTTATGATAAAAGTAATTGTCAAGGTTAGAGGATCCACTAATGATATTTCAAATAAATATAGCATAAAATCTTGTTATTCAATTGGAAACCACACAAAAGGAGGTTCCAATAGAATTATAAATGGTTAACTT